TGTGCCCAAGATCCCGAGAGGAGAATGGAGGAGAAGGGATTGCGGTGCGGCCATCCCCCCCTGGGGGGCGGTGATTTCTCACTTTCTGTCTCTCTCTCTCTCTCTCTCTCTCTCTGTCTTTCTGGTGAGTGGATGTGCCCTATAGCAAAAACTGGTCCAAAAAATTATAATAACACATAAAATATGTATTAAAAAAAAGAAATCAGTTCTCAGGTCCTCTGAACAATCCCTGTGTGGCAGCCCCAGAGCAGGCTGCATAGAGCAGTGTGCCTGTGCAGGGCAGAGCCAGATCTCCTTAACTAGGAGTGAAAGCACACACACACACACACACACACACACACACGAGACGCTCCGATTACTGTTGGGGAGTCAGGTGTCTGGTTTGTGTAAATGCCCATGTAGGGTCAGTGAGGGTGAGTGCCCCTCTCTGCCCATAGAACATGGAAGTTCCTCATTTGAGAGGTGACAATTGAACTGAGTCATGAAAGAGGGAAAGAAGGTTGGCTGTGATGGTTCTGTTTGAAGGAATCTTGAGAGTGAATTATTCCATTTGGCTGGAGATGACAGTCATCATGGAAGGAAAGGAGGGGAGGGAAATGAGAAACGGTTAGACATGGCCTGCACTGCTAGGGTGCCGGTTAGGCCTCCTCCACAGGGAGCAGTAACAGAGCACTCAGGCGCCGATAACAGAAGCACGTAGAGGTGGAATCACTAAGAGGCCTGGGGCTGGGGTGGCTCTGTTTCATGTTGTCAGGGACCCAGGTTCCTTCACTCTTGTTGCTCTAAAGTGTTATTCTCTTCCTGCATAACCAGAACTGACCTGTCAGCACCACACCCACCTCGCAGCCTGTGGCAAGGAGGAAGTGGAGGGCAGTGTCCTTTCGAGGACCTGACTCAGAAGTTGTGGGTATCGCTTCCATTCTCTTCCTCTTGGGCAGAGCTTGGTCCAGCAGACACACGCTGCTGCAGGGAGGCAGAGCTGTGTAGACTTGGAGGCAGCTCCGTGCTGTGCCGAAACTTGGGTGTCCTGCTACGAAAGGGAAGAGGGAGAGACTGGGCATGTGGGGTTAAGCTGACCCTCCCACAAAGCCAACTCTGGAAAGTTACTGTATGCCAGCTTTGGGGCTGTGATTTTATCAGATGGGGCACCAGTAAGTGCTCTCTCTTGGGGAGATACACGGCTGAGATTGGTGTTTCCGAAAGCACATCTGGCTGTGGTGGGAGAACGGACTTGAGTTCTATAAAGCAGATCTGGTCTGGCTCTGGGAGCAGGGATCTGTGGATGAAGACCTGAAGGTGGTGGACTTGCAGCTCAACAGAACTTTTTAACAGGCAACCAGAAAAACAGCCAAGCAGAACAAAATGACCAAAGTGGTCAGTCACTAGCAGACACTAGCAGTCCTGTTGGGAAAAAGTGTTGCAGAATCCATTCAAACATCTCATGTATTTCTTACACATCCATCCAAAGAACTCTGTGCACCTACACCAAGTATGATTCCAAATGCTAGAGGAGAGCAGGTGATCAAAGGGAGAGCTTTGCTGTCAGAGCTCATGTTCCAGGGAGGAGAGACATGCACTCAACAACAAAACAAACAAGATGATTTCAGATGGTGATAAGTTGTAAATAGAGGGGCTGGAATATATAAAGTCCATGGGCCACAAGAAAGTGTGATCGGGATCAGCCATGTGCAATTTGGAGGGTTTGTTTTATTTTAAAGAGATTTTTTGCAATAGGATGTGGTGCTCACCAGACAGAGACAGAAAGTGAGAAATCATCCCCCAGGGGGATGGCCATGCCACAATCCCTTCTCCTCCATTCTCCTCTCAGGATTTTGGGCATGCACACACACACACACACACACACACACGGCGTGTGTTCATAGCAGCCAGGAGTGGGACTCAAACCACAGTCGGAAATATGGGAGTCCAGCAACATAACCATTACACCATCCGTTGGTCCCAAGATTCAGAGGTTTTTCTGACAGCAGTCGGAAGCCAGCTGCTAGACAGCTGTCACAGTAAAGTGACCTGATCTCTGTGTCTAAGTCCTCAATATGGCTTCTGCATGGAGGCTGCTAGGGTGTTCTGGCTTTATGACTGCTTCCCAGATAGGGCTACAGTGAGCATGACAGAACCTCTCTCCTCCCAGACTACTTCTGCTATGGAAGGCCTGGGACTCGCCAGAGGTGCTGGTGGAAACTCAGGCCCCCACCCCCACCTGGTCTGCAAGTTGGAATGCACCTCACTCTGGGTTGGAGAACCTGCTCTGGCCCCTTGCTGCTCAATGTGCAGCCCAGCACAGGTGTTACCACAGAGCTTGTCAGAAATACAGATCTCAGACCCACACTCAGACCTACACAACCATAATCTTCATTCAACAAGATTCCAGAAGCTCTGTATTCTCGGGCTAGAGTGTTTTCTCTCTCCCTCTCTCTACACACACACACACACACACACACACACACACACACACACGATCATCATCACTATATAAGGTACAAGCTCAGTGTCAAATGGCCTGTCTGGATTAGCTCAGAATTTGGGATTCCTGGAGGAAAAGCAGATGCTCCGTGAGCTTAAATGTGGAAGAGTGTGAAATCTATAAACAAGGAGCCTGTGGTGATTCATGTGGTGAGAGATTACTGTATGCAATTTAGTGTCTTTACAAAAATCAGCCTGCTGGTGATGAGCAGGATATTGCAAATTCAAGAGGAAAGCCTGGGCGCAGGAGGGTAGTGTAGAAATGTCAACGGTACTTCTCTTTAGTTAATGGACTATCCACGATGGCTTTATGCTTTGCTTTTTGTATTACTTATCACACTTCAAATTTCCTATAATATATAATCTGTTATTTTTGCAACCAAAGTTAAAAATAAAAACCTGTCCAGGTTCCAGATGGCATGGGCCTGCACTAGGAGGGGCAATGAGAGAGAGCACAGGGGGTGGGGTGGGCATTCTGTGAGGAGCATCAGGAAGAGACTGCCAGGTGCAGGAGCTTCTGCCATAAAATCCCACCTGGGTACCTCCTCTCTTCAGCATTAGGACAGCACTGTTTTGAGGTGAGAAGGTGCTCAGCAATGTTTCTCAAAAGCTTGCAGAATGGGGGCCAGCAGGTGGTGTAGTGGTTGAGGCGCTGGATTCCCACATGGTTGATGAGTTCAAGTCCCAGACCTGGCTTGAAACTCATGCCAGGCGTGTGTATATGCATGGCCAAAATCCCCAAAGGAGAATGTAGGAAAAGGGATTATGGAGTGGACATCACCCCTGGTTATGCCCCCTGAGGGGTAGTCCTCGCTTTCTCTCTGTCTCTTGTGTCTCTGGTGAGTACACATGCCTTACAGCAAAAATCTCTCTTAAAAAATGATTTTTTTTTGAGGTTTTTCACTACAGGGCGCGTGCGCTCGCCAGATAGACAGAGAGAGACATAGAGACAGAAAGCAAGAAATCACCCCCAGGGGAGATGGTCACGCTGCAATCCCTTCTCCTCCATTCTCCTCTCGGGATCTTGGGCACGCACACACACGCGCCCGGCATGAGTTTTAAGCCACCAGGTCCGGGACGTAAACCACGGTCGACTACGTGGCAGTCCAGCGACATAGCCATTACGCTAACTGCTGGTTCCCTTAAAAAATTATTTTAAAAACCTTGTAGAATGAAGGGACCAGCAGATGGCATAATGGCTACATCGCTGGACTCCCATGTAGTCGACCATGGTCCGAGTCCCAAACCCCATGGCTTAAACTCACACCAAGCACGTGTGCGTGCGCACCCAAGATTCTGAGAGAAGAATGAAGGAGATGGGATTTGGCCGTCCCCCTGGGGAGGGGATGATTTCTCGCTTTCTGTCTCTGTCTCTGTCTTTCTGGTGAGCGCACGTCCCCTATAGTAAAAACCTCTCAAAAAACAAAACAAAACAAAACCTTGCAGAATGAAGATGGATAAAGGACATCAAGTCTGGGTAGCCAGGCACTTGATGGTACTTTTGGAAGAAATATAGAATTTTTGGGTAGCAGAAGTTTGCGAAGAAAGATCTGAGGTCATTCTTAAGTGTGCTAATTGTCTTCACAATTAGGCAGACACTGAGATGTTACAACAGACAGGAATGGAGAAGAAAGGCCCACTGGCACCAGCAGAGGTGGCTTTTATTACGCAAGCTAGAACTGCTCCTTCCTAAAGCACCCAGTGGCTGGTTAACCGCTCTCATGCTTTCCTATTTGGGTCTCCCAGGGCCTCCTGGAACCGCAGCAGGCTTAGTGGGAGGACCTGGGGTTCTGGCACGCTCCCAGCCCTCACCCCTATATTTAGCTGGGGTGGGTTAGACCGGATGCAGCGGCAGCTCACACAGCTCCAGAGCCCTTGTCTGAGTTCAGCCCTGCAGGCTTAGTGTGATTCTGGCACTTGTGTGTCCCTCTGAGACGCAGTGCTTCCCTGGCCCTCGGCAGCAGTGATAGTGGCCTTGGCTCCTAAAGTACCATTTTGCCTCCAGGTGTTGTTCAGTACGTAAACAGTTGCAGGGTGGACTCAAGGGCATATCCTATTCCATGTGATTCCTAAACCACATCATGAAAAAGATGTCTTCACTTTACACCAAAATATCGTCAATTCAATTCGTGAGGTTACATGGCGCAGGGGTTTGTCTCATCTTATTTGAGGCAGTTCCTATAAGCGAAGTTTCATGCTCTTTTCCAAATCACGTTTTTCTTTTCCTCCAAAGAAAAACTGTTTCAGAGGCAGGACAAACAAACTTCAGTGAGTTTGTCTGTCTTGTGAAAAGAATAATGGCTAAGTTATTAGGACTCACAAGAAACACAGAGAGTCTTGGGTATTATTGAGCCCGAAAGTCTGTCAATGAGGGAAGAAGCAGGTGGTCCGTGGACCCACACCACTGCCCTCCCCTGCCCCTCAACTGCACCTCTGAGCGGGCCTCTCAGGACCCTAGGATTCCTTTAGGGGAAGAGGATGCTTGCAGATTTCACTTACCTCCCAACCTTTTATTTCAGATCATCAGAAAAGCCCTTACTGAGGAAAAACGTGTCTCAACAAAAACATCAGCTGCAGATCTTGTGACAGAAACAGATCACCTTGTGGAAGATTTAATCATTTCCGAGTTGCGGAAAAGGTTTCCTTCACACAGGTAGGTGTGCTCCTTGGGGAAATCCCCCAGTAACACTCACCACACTCACAGGGAAGGCCAGGTCTGACGGGCAGCTCTGCCACTTGTTGACGTGGGACAGGCAGGAACCCACGGCCGCTTGGTCTGAGCACTGCCTTCAGCAGCATAGTAAGCAAACCGACCTTGTTTTCATTGTTGTCTTGGCAACCATCATGTTCATAAATCACCTTACAAATATTGGAAAGGCTCTACTTTTTATTAACACTTGCTCAGGGGAGGCCCCTGTGTCCCTGTTCTAAGGCACTTATGTTTCCGGAAGGATTCAGTAGAAGCATGAGTCATCCCAAGAAGCCTGGGGCAGTAGAGTTCGCTGGAAGCCTGTACCTGCTGGCTTCCCAGGGGTGCATGCCTCCAGGATCACGCCATAGCTCAGAGTTGGAGGGGAAGGCCAAGAGGCCATCCCAGCGACTGTTACAGGGACTCTACTCTTCTTAGAACAAACATTCTTAACTTTTTTCACCCTGCAGAGAAATCGATGTAAGCTATAATATTCATCTTTTTCTCAGAACAAAATAAAAATGTTTATATAACATTTTAAAATTCTGTCAGTGGACTGTGTTTGTTTTGTTGACCACCTTTGGGTTTAACTTCCTCTTGTTTCCTATTTCCTCCTTGCTCAGTTTGAAATCAGGATTCTTGGTATCTGCTATAGTATATGAAATGTTTGTTATCTTTTATTTTTTAAAAAAGCTTTTAAATCTTAATTTTCATTAAATAGCAATACCAAAATAATTTATCAAATAGTTCCAAGGGAGATAGAAACCCAAGTGAAGACCACTTCTTTAGCTCTGGGACACTCTCAGGTCCCTCCCATATCCCTGAAGTTTTACAGGATGAATTTTTGAAAACCCGTATCTTGAATGCGAGGGTCTCTTTCCTTCCTTTTGTGGAATCTCTTATTTAAAAATGTTGGCCTCCTGAAACTGGAATACCTGCATTGGATTTCTGGACAGAAAGGATTATATCTGTCAAGTTCCATGTGTATATGGATTTAGACAGCAGAAATGCACAAGGTAATCTCCCTTAGCTCCATTTGACACATGGTAGGCTCAGTAGGATTTGGGTTTTTCCCTCAAGTTTATTTATTATTTCTTCCATGAGTGAGAGAGGGAGAGTCAAGTACCCGCAGCAGGGCCAGCTTCCATGATCTGCCCCCAGCCTCAGCCAGCCTGGATCATGAGCACACATGAGCATACATGCACACCCAGTGTGCTCAGGCATCCCAGGATGCAAACCCAGGACCTTTCCCACTGTGCCACCATCCCAGTAAGTTTTTTTTCCCAGTGAATGGTTATAAGAATGAAAGAACCAGCCTGTTAAAACACTTCTTTTTTTCCTGTCATTTCCTTCTAAATAGTTAGATTATCTCAGAGTTACTTGCTCTCCCTTTGAAATTCTCCCTGACGTGGTTGTGTTTGTTTTATTGATCAACTCTGTTTAAGCTTCTCATATTTCTTATTTCCTTACTTGGCTTCAAGTCAGGATCCTCAGCCTCTGTTGTAATATCTATAAGCTCTAAGATGTTTATAATTTTAAAACCTAGTTTTAATTAAATGGCAATGCCAGAAGAATTTATCATATAGATTGCTTTTATTCTTTGGGAGGATAAACTCTGTGGTAACCAACCAGCTGTTTCCAGGTACTCTGTAACTGCTTGGTCTGGAGGTTGCCATGGTAATGATCCATGTGGCTGTGACAGAACCGAGTGCTGGCTCATCTGTCTATGTAGGATCTGGTAGAAAGGCCTTGAGGCCTGGCCAGACCAGGCACAAGAAGAATCAGGGCTTCTGGTGTTTCAGTCAGATGACTCGGACAAACCACATTCTGAAATTGCACACCCTGTTGTACATGTCACAGCAGCTGCTAGTGGTTTGGATCTACTAGTAAGTAAATACGTAGAGTGGATACCATTTGTACGCAGTAAATTTAAATACATATTATTGTATACATAGGGTAAAACTTAATGTATCATAGGGTGACACCTCCACCCTGCAGCTGTAGGATTGCCAGGGACCACCAGGCAATCCCAACCCCTTTGGGATACTACCCAGAGCAGCGGACCTTAGGGTGGACATGTGCCTGGCTCACCTGGGGGCTTCTCTAGTAGGGCGGTGCCAGGCCTCCCTCTCTGGAAAAGCCCTCAGATACTCAGATGCGGACCAGAAATGTAACTGAGAGCCATAGTTCCCAAACTCCAGAATCTTGGGCATTTAATTATATTTTAGATCATAGACAAATCAATAAATTCATGATGAAAAAAATTACATCCATATCATAAAATAGTATGTTGTCATTTTTCGTTCTTAAAATAGTTAAATATATCCCTTAAACAGTTTTAAAATTCTGTCAGTGGACTGTGTTTGTTTTGTTGACCACCTTTGGGTTTAACTTCCTCTTGTTTCCTATTTCCTCCTTGCTCAGTTTGAAATCAGGATTCTTGGTATCTGCTATAGTATATGAAATGTTTGTTACCTTTTATTTTTTAAAAAAGCTTTTAAATCTTAATTTTCATTAAATAGCAATACCAAAATAATTTATCAAATAGTTCCAAGGGAGATAGAAACCCAAGTGAAGACCACTTCTTTAGCTCTGGGACACTCTCAGGTCCCTCCCATATCCCTGAAGTTTTACAGGATGAATTTTTGAAAACCCGTATCTTGAATGCGAGGGTCTCTTTCCTTCCTTTTGTGGAATCTCTTATTTAAAAATGTTGGCCTCCTGAAACTGGAATACCTGCATTGGATTTCTGGACAGAAAGGATTATATCTGTCAAGTTCCATGTGTATATGGATTTAGACAGCAGAAATGCACAAGGTAATCTCCCTTAGCTCCATTTGACACATGGTAGGCTCAGTAGGATTTGGGTTTTTCCCTCAAGTGTATTTATTATTTCTTCCATGAGTGAGAGAGGGAGAGTCAAGTACCCGCAGCAGGGCCAGCTTCCATGATCTGCCCCCAGCCTCAGCCAGCCTGGATCATGAGCACACATGAGCATACATGCACACCCAGTGTGCTCAGGCATCCCAGGATGCAAACCCAGGACCTTTCCCACTGTGCCACCATCCCAGTAAGTTTTTTTTCCCAGTGAATGGTTATAAGAATGAAAGAACCAGCCTGTTAAAACACTTCTTTTTTTCCTGTCATTTCCTTCTAAATAGTTAGATTATCTCAGAGTTACTTGCTCTCCCTTTGAAATTCTCCCTGACGTGGTTGTGTTTGTTTTATTGATCAACTCTGTTTAAGCTTCTCATATTTCTTATTTCCTTACTTGGCTTCAAGTCAGGATCCTCAGCCTCTGTTGTAATATCTATAAGCTCTAAGATGTTTATAATTTTAAAACCTAGTTTTAATTAAATGGCAATGCCAGAAGAATTTATCATATAGATTGCTTTTATTCTTTGGGAGGATAAACTCTGTGGTAACCAACCAGCTGTTTCCAGGTACTCTGTAACTGCTTGGTCTGGAGGTTGCCATGGTAATGATCCATGTGGCTGTGACAGAACCGAGTGCTGGCTCATCTGTCTATGTAGGATCTGGTAGAAAGGCCTTGAGGCCTGGCCAGACCAGGCACAAGAAGAATCAGGGCTTCTGGTGTTTCAGTCAGATGACTCGGACAAACCACATTCTGAAATTGCACACCCTGTTGTACATGTCACAGCAGCTGCTAGTGGTTTGGATCTACTAGTAAGTAAATACGTAGAGTGGATACCATTTGTACGCAGTAAATTTAAATACATATTATTGTATACATAGGGTAAAACTTAATGTATCATAGGGTGACACCTCCACCCTGCAGCTGTAGGATTGCCAGGGACCACCAGGCAATCCCAACCCCTTTGGGATACTACCCAGAGCAGCGGACCTTAGGGTGGACATGTGCCTGGCTCACCTGGGGGCTTCTCTAGTAGGGCGGTGCCAGGCCTCCCTCTCTGGAAAAGCCCTCAGATACTCAGATGCGGACCAGAAATGTAACTGAGAGCCATAGTTCCCAAACTCCAGAATCTTGGGCATTTAATTATATTTTAGATCATAGACAAATCAATAAATTCATGATGAAAAAAATTACATCCATATCATAAAATAGTATGTTGTCATTTTTCGTTCTTAAAATAGTTAAATATATCCCTTAAACAGTATATTAGTTGGGCCAGCTGGTGGTTAAGACTGACTGACCACAGAGTTTAAGTCCCAGATCTAGCAACTGAAACATGCTGGGCACATGTGCGTGGGTGCCCAGAATCCTGAAAGGAGTAATGGAGGACAAAGGGTTGTAGCATGACCGTCAAGCTTTCTCACTCCGCCAACCTCCATGAGTGCACACAGCCTCTAGCAAAATTTTAAAAATACACACACACGTAAGCATGCAATGTGTTAGCATCAGGTTGTCTTTCATCCTTTCCCAGGAAGGACTTTTATTCTGAGCTTTTATTACCTCGTTCATTTTTAGTCTTTCGTGAAGCAATATTAAAGATAGAGTATACCTGTTTAAGTTTGTTTTTATTTTCATTTTTCCACGAAAAACGGACGCAAAGAGACAGGAAGAGAGAGGCCTCCCCAACAGTGCCCCCGTGCTATGATCCTGCCCCCAGTTTCCCCCAGATCCCAGGCATGAGTGCCTGCTGTGTACAAGGAGACCTCAGAATGTGAATCCAGGACTCACCCCCCCCACCACCACCCTGCATGGCCTCAGCCTCTGGAGTGCTGTGCTACCATGGCTAGCCCTGCTTTGTTTTTAATTAAAAAAAAAAAAAACCTAATATAGGCTCCCTCGTATCTGTGAAATTTCAAGGCTTGGCCTCTGACCTGAGGACGGGTACAGACTAACTCAGGGAGTGACAGGGTTTAATCTTGTTTCTGCCCTCAACCCTCACAGCTTTGGCAAAGCACTCTTCTTCTCAGGGCCTCAAACTCCTCTCCCATGAATGAGCACCTGACCAAGGTCATCCTTGAGGTCCCAGAAT